GGTGGCCACATCATTTTTACTAAGGCTTCCTCTGAGTCACTGCAGCAGGGAAAAGAATCAGCTGTAGGAGCTCAGGTGGGGCCCAGAAGTAACTTCTGCCCCTTGGCCAGGACTAGTCATAAAGTCCAAGGAGCAGCCAAAGCCCGGAGAGTAAAGGGGCAGGTTCTGGGGGGGTGGGAAAGACTTGGGTTCACACAAGCAATGGTGGCTGAACCCTCTGGGAATTATATGCAATAATGGTGTGTTTTTCTGCAGAGAAGAGAAAGAATTTAGCTTGCACCAGATTTATTAAGGGGAGAATAACCTGTCATCTAAGTTAAAAAAAAATTTAAAGGTAAGATGGATACATGAAGGTTTTGGAATTTGAGAATATCTTAAGGAAGTTGGATTTAAGGGTGGATTCTCCAACTTTATTTTTTTTTAAAGATTTATTTATTTATGCATACAAGAGCTGGGGTACAGGCCAGAGGTGTGTGTGGGTGAGAGGATTCACCAGAGATAGAGTGGGGAACAGAAAAGGTGGACCTACTGAAATACACTGCTGAGGGGAGCAGCAGGCGAGGCAGGAGAGGTCTGCTGCGCCATGTGGGTAACTCTCTGGCCTGGGATCGAACTTGTGCTGCAGAGGCTGCGAATAGCTTCATAGGTTGTGTCTTAACCCCATGCGCCACTAGGGAGGCCCCCCTTTTTTTTTATGGCCAGTTCCACACCCTTCTTCTCATTGTTGGCTTGTTTGCCAAACAGAAATAGTTGATCAAATCATAACAGAACATGAGACTCACTCATGACAGTGACCTTTTCACATTCTTGAAAAAGCTTCATGTTTGTGAATGAAAAATATAAGTCAAGATCTGGAGTAGGAAGATGTGGTTTGACATTAAACAAACCTTCAACCAATATAAACTAAGATCTGACAGATAACTTCATGGTCTTGATTGCTTTCCTTTAAGAGGACTAAATGATTCATAAAACTAGGGAGCTATTTCTGGCACTGGAGAGAACCTGTACATGCTGTTTTGTAGAAAACAGAAAGTGTCTTGAAGTACTGACTAGAGACTATACTAATCATTTCTATAGGCAGGGCTGTTTCCTACTGTTTACATCCTGCTTCTCTGATATAATTTACATTTGGCTACAATAAAATTGTGTCTTAAAACCATGTTACTAACAGGATCTGTTTTTAGGATTTAAAACAGTTTCAGGCTATAAAAACAGTTCCAGGTCAACAGGTCTATTATACTGAATAAGGAAAGCTTTTGCTTCTGTGTTATCCTTCCATATGTACATCTCTGATCTCCAAATGGTAAGATGAATTAGCTTTTCATCAAAATAAAAAGATGATGGTGATAATATTTCTGGTAAGGAACATAAACTATATTCTGGAGAAAGCAGCAAAAACTCGGAGGCCCTTAAGCCTTGCAGAGCAACCAATTTCTGTTGCTTCAGGCTTGAATAATTTCATTGAACTCAGTGAATTTGAATTCCTTTCCCCCCCAAGTTCCTAGATGTGAGAGGAGAATCTATTCTTACTTGACTTTTGGAAAGGAACAGAGGAACGTGAAATCATCCCAACCACACCTAAGAGTATTAGAAAAGTGTGAAGGTGCCGCATGTGGTGCATTTGCTCCGAAAGCCACAGACGAGAGATGCCTGTGGGTGAATTGCTGTTGTGTCTCATCTGGAGACCTGAGTCTCTCACTGCTCTGCTCCCTTCAGGGGCAGCTTCCTCTGCTTGAAAGAATATTGCCTCCCCATGAGTTAATGGTTTGTTTGGAGGATGGAAGTCTCAGAGGTGACAATAACTGTACAGCTCTTAGAATGTATCTTTCAAATCTTTCATCAGCCTTTTTATCCGAATACATGGAGCCCCTTAAAGCGTGAGGTTACAGCTGCTCCTTCATAAAAGAAAGACACAGTTTGAAAACCTGAAAGCAGCTCAGATTTTCAATATTTCTATTTTTCTTCATTTGTCAATGTCACCGTCGCTGTTCTGCATTCACATGAAAACCAGTTGGTGAGTTAAGCCCAATATCGGGTCAGAGAGTTTTTTTCATAGTTTCCGAGGAGGTGGAGAATTATGACTCTTGTTTAAAAAATGATTAGAGGCAAACGAGTTATGGTTAGGGTGTACCTACTCGTTTTGAATTCCATTCCATTTGACAAATATTTGCTCAGTAGATGTTTGCGATGTTTCCTTCTTTTGCACAAATTCTAAGAATCAGGATCTGTTGTCAAGAGACTCATACTCTCATTAGGCAGATAAGGCAACTGGTCATGACAGATTTAGAATTTGACACATGGGAAGAGTGTGGGGAGATAGCAATGACATTGAAAAAGGAGATGGCATTCTCAAGAGAGAGGACTCAGGGAAGATTTTAGGATTTGAGAAACAGCTTGCAAAATGGGTGGCATTTCCCTAGTGATAATGAAGAACTCTCTCTCTGTGTGTGTGTGTGTGTGTGCATGTATAGACAGGGAAGGAAGGTGGTCAGAGAAGTTTGAGAAGCTTATACTTGGAGGCAGTAGGGAGCCAATGAAGATTTTTAAGTAAAGCAAAGGCAGAACAATAAGAGTTGGAGTTTAAGAAATAGTTTGCAGCATTTTAAAGTGGACTTCTGTATGTTTAGAGCTAAAAATGTCTATCTAAACAAGCAAGTATAATGTTCTACAGGTTTTATTTCCAAACAGAACTAAAATATATACACGCCAGTAGTATGGAATTAACTTCTCCTTTGCGTTTGAAAAAAAAAACATTATTTTTCACTTTATAATGACATAACTCAATCCATGCAGAGATTTCTATTCTTGGTCAAATGAATTAGTAAGGGGATGTAGTTTTATGACATTCTGAAGAATTGAATCATCTCCACCATGTGATGGTTGAGATTTTACATGTCTGGATAATATTTTGAAATGCAGTTATTTGTTCTGCTCCTAAGCCCTTAAGAACGCAACATTCAAAAAAAAAAATAGGGAGACAAAATATTTAAAAAAATAGAAAAATAAATCATTTTGTAGAGTAAAGAAAAGCAAAGGAGACTTTTTCAAAGGCTGGCATAGGATTGCGACAGGACACACAGCTTGGAGGCATAGCTAGTCTCAAGTCTGAGCTCAGGCATCCTCCATGACCATCCCTGATGATTAGCAATTATCAAAGAGAAATTTGATGATGTGAGCACCTCAATTTATCCTCTTCCAAAGCTTTTATCAGAATAAGTCATTTACTAGATGAATGGTATTCCCTCTGTTTTATCTCCTAGGTAGAAAAAGTAAGAGTCTAATGGGTAGATAAATCAAAATGTAACCAGCCACCTGTTTTCAAAAAAATTATTTAAAAAAAATGAAGAACAATTGTTTTATATTCTTGTTAATATTTGTACAGTAGAGGATTTCTCCCCTCAGGTGTGGTCACCGTAGCTTTCCCACCACCACTATGGTCCACTGTGCTCTCTCCATTTCTCACTCCCCCATCCTGGATGCCTCAGATCTATGGTCAGCTTTCAAGGGCTGATTTTAATGCTTGTCTTCATCTGACCCTTTGTTTGGTTTCTCTATACTCTGCATATAAGTGATGCCACTCAGTATTTCTCTCTCTTCTGGCTTATTTCACTTAGCAGGATTTCTTATCATACCTACATTTGGAACTAGAACTCTCCTTATTTTGTAACAAGAAGATAAGACAGTGGTAAGCAGTATTCTACTGATGTAAAACAGTGGATAAAATTCATTTATGCTACTTTAGTGCTATTTACTATTTATTCTATAGAGGAAATACACACCAAAACATCATTGCTTCATCTAAATGACTTAAGGAAAGAGAGTTCCAAACAGGAGCTGCTTGTTCACATTACAAAAGTTGGCCTTACGGTGCTATTTAAAGTATCCCCAAATATCTTGCTTCATTCTCAAGAACAGTAAAATACTGTAAGTCAATGTTTATTATTAGAAGTATTCAATTCTTATGTGGTGAAAACAACAACAACTATATGCTGTCTCAGTTGTCAAGGTGTTAAAATGAAGTTGCATCTAAAATCAAAACAAAGCTGTGAGAATGGCTATTATCCAAAAGGCAAGAAACAGAAGTGTTGGGAGGATGTAGTGAGAAGGGGACCCTTGTATATTATTTGTAGGAAGGCAAACTGGAGCAGTTATTATGGAAAACAGGATGGCGATTCCTTAAAGGAAAAAAATATTGAAATTCCAGTCATCCCACTTTTGGGTATTTACCTGAAGAACATGAAAACATTTATTTAAAGAAATATATCCACCCCCACGTTCATGGCACCATTTTTCATAATAGCCAAGACTTGGAAACAACTTAAGTGTCCATCAACAGATGACTGGGTAGAGAAGATGTGGATTACTACTCAGCTATAAAACAGAAGAAACCCTGTCATTTGCAATGGCGTGGGTGTATCAAGCTGGTATTATATTAAGTAAAATAAGTCAGACGAAGAAAGACAAACACAATATGATTTCAGTCACAATGGAAGAAAAGAAAACAAAACTAAGGAACAAACAAAACCAAACCAAACTTGTAGACAATAAGGACAAAATAGTGGTTACCAGAAGGGAAGGAGCTGGAGGAGGTAACTCAGGTAAAAGGGGTTAATCTTAGGGTGAAAGATGGAAATGAGACTTTCGATGACAAATGTAATGTACCAAATACAGACGTTGATTTACAGTGCTGAAATATATAATGTTATAATGCCATGTTATTCCAATAAAAACTATTAAAATATAAAGCTGCAGAAGAGCAGAAGAGCTAATCATTAGTACAGAAGAGCTAATCATCAGTACTATTTTATGCCTGCTTTACACAACAAAGGTACCATCTATCACAAAAGAACACACCACACTCAAGTAGTAATGAATAAAGAAAATTAAAATTACCAATAAAATTAAAACTACCAGTAGGTGAATAAACCTTTGCAATGAAAATGACTTACCTACTAAAAATGATTCAAAAACTAAATCGCTTTCCAAAGCCAATGCCTTACCCATAAATGGATCCGGACCAATGCGCCTTCTATTCTCCTTCCATGACAACAGGCAGTTAAGGCTGGCGAGATCCGCAGACTCGATATAATTAGAGACTGTCAGCATCATTTGATGAGCTTTTGCTATTCCGTAGTGAACTTTCGTTTCGTCCATAAGAGGCATGCTTGTCAGCTCTACTGATGTGTCAAAAGCTTGCTGAAAGTACTCCGAAGCTTTCTTGTAGTATCCCTAGAAAGAGAAAGAATTCTTTCCTGAACTTTCATTTTACCTTCCACATATTTGCCCACGTTGACATGCATCACACCGACATTCCACCAGTTTTAACATCTTCAAGAAGAAAGGGCTGACAAAAGGGTGTCTCTCAGAGTAAGGGTGTTTTTTAAAAAGTGGTGATGACAAACCATAGAACATCTTGAAGTCAAGTTACTAAGAAAATTATATCTGCCAACCTAATATAGGGTAGCAAAAATAATTTTGGGAAAGAGTGAACTAATTCACACTGATTTGGATGGAATTTGCTTACTCATGGCATTGCATTTACTTAATGAGGTATTTTTTTATTTTTTTATTTTTTCTTTTAAAGATTTATTTATTTTATTTATACAAGAACCAGGGCACAGGCCAGATTTGTGGGAGGTTGAGAGGGCTCACCAGAGACAGAGCAAGGAACAGAACAGGCAGACTGATGAAATACACTGCTGAGGGGAGCAGCGGGCACAACAGGAGAGGTCCGGGATCGAACTGGCGCTGCAGAGGCTGCGGACAGCTTCACAGCGCTGCGCTCAACCGCCTGCGCCACCAGGGGAGGCCCTTAATGAGATATTTTAAACCAACTTTTGTTCTCAATCATGGAGTCGATGGTCAGTGAAAAGAATGCCTGTATCTGCTCATTCAGCCTTTGCTCCTGCTCGCCCATGTTCAGGTGCCATCTTGACTGAGAACAGGGAGGTAATCCAGGATTTCCAATAATTATGATACTTCTAATACACAAACTACAATGTAAAGCAGTTACTTCAATTAAAAAGAAAGATTCTATTATCCCAAAATAAATTATTTTTTAGTTAATATTTAAAAATAAATACCATCAGCATTGGCACAACTCATTTAAATGTGTATCTATTGCCTAAGTCCTTTGCAATATTTACAAGTTATAAAAACTCGAAGATTGCTTTTTCTTCTTCTTTTTTCTTCTGGTCATCCTCATTTCTCCTAAAAGTTATTACCACAGTAGCACTTACCAAGTTCTTACAAAGTGTCAGTCAGTGCTAATTACTTCCTATCTGTTATGTCATTAAAGTTCGTCAGTCACTTTGTGATGAAACAGCATCTTGTTCTATAAAATATGAACTTGATTCCCCAGGAAGATATACTATCCATTCCCACCAAGTCCTCTAAAATACCTTGTTAAAAATTTCTCCTCAAAGGAAGAAATTATTTTAAGACTGAACTACATTTGGAAAGAGTCTAGGAAACATTTCTGTTCTTCATGGTGAGCAATTCTTCCCTCATTTTGAAGCACAAAACATAGAATTCATTATGAGGATATGACTGCTTAATTAGGAAAAAATAAAACTACACCAAAGATATTTGTACCCCAACTGGGTAATTTATTTGATTGAGAAACAATACAAATATTGAAGATGAAAATAAAACTCTTTAAAATGATAGATTTGTCTTGCTGAACAACAAAGATATAGGACAAAGTAGATGAACACATATGGTTAAAACAAACATTTCAATAAAAAAGAGAAGTATAAATAAATATTATTTAGTTATGCTTCTGAGCTTTAGTCTATTGTTTGAAGTGAGATGCTTAATTAGGAAAATTGAGAACCATAAATGAGTGGACATATATTTAAATTTCCAGAATCATGTATATATATTTAAATTTCCACAATCATGTTCATGAACAAACTCATTCATTCATCTATTCATTCACTGAGTAACTACCCTGTGCAGACTTGGGCAGTGGGGAGTCAGCAGTGCACAAGTAGGTGAGCTTGCTACTAGAGGAAGTTGCCTAACAAGTGATTTTTTATTCCACTTAAAATAACAGCATTTTAATTAGGTAGTTATTTTTCCTTTAATTTGTGCCTAGTGTTCAATCTGCAGACACACACACACACACACACAGCTGCCATAAAACTACCAACCGAAATTCCTCTGGTTTAAAAACATTTTTAAGGAAATACAACATTAATATGGCAGATGCAAGCATTCTTATACATACCATTTTGGAATGAGATTTCATTAATATGTACAGTATTTCCAGATTTTTAATTCTTAAGGAATTTAGTAACTAAATTTAATGTCTTCTTTGAAGTTCTTGCCTAACCTTTCCACAGTTCCTGCTATCAGTTAACCCCAATCCTATGGTTAAATTCTGAAGATTCCAATAATTAATCCTGACAACCTAGAAGATAAATTTGAGAATATAAAAAGGAATTATACACTTCATAAACACATCTTATTAGAAGTGACAACTTCATTGAATGTTACAAATATCTCTGGTTAGCACTTAGTGGACAACTTCAGGCCAGGAGCTTGATGACATCATAGACAAAAAACAGAATTTTCATGCATTATTCTGATTCTTACCAGACACTTCTTAGTGTCTGAAATGTCACTTTTATCCAATGAGCAAGCTTAATAGGTATTTTTTTCAGTAGTAAAGAATAATTTCTTTTACACTTTCCCTGCATAGTGTTGGAATAATTGTTTTAAAGATGCGGTTAGTCTCTGATGTTGCTAGGAAATGAAAGGTATCAAAAAGGATCTCTATCTACTTATTTTCCCTAGAACATTCTCATTTGATCATTATATATTAGTTATATATATATATATATTTAATTAACAATCCATCAAAAGATTACATCAGAGAGGTGGGATGGACAGCCCATTTTCTATTAACTATATAGTAGAAGGTAGACAATCCTTTATCCTTTAGGATAAAGGATTTTTAAAGATGCATTAGCTTTAATCATACACTAAAATCATTATAGAAAATAGGGACATCTGTTAAAATGTAAGAACTCAGCAAGGTATAGGAATCAACTTGTATATTTGAAGGCATGCAAATTTGAAGATAACAGGTATATCGCAAACCTTCCCAACTTGATATTGGGACAGGGATAAACTGGTAAAAAAACCAAACTTTTGGTTAGTTGACACACTCTTTGGATATTATCCATGTCTCTAACCTTTTTTTTTTATTAAACTCTTCTTCAAGAATTAATGATCAGAGAATAAATCATACATTGAGATACCAATATAAAATATATGTTGAGGTTAAAAACTCCTGGCAAAAATAGTTACAACAATGTAAGATGAGAAATCTGAGCTACCTAGGAGGTAATTAATTTGTGCCAGTCACATAATCTTGTAGGTAAAGAGCGAGACTTTTAACCCAGTCTGATCTCAGAATTAGCGCTTTTAATAGCTACATCCACCGTTTCTTAAAAAGATGAAGATACGGAGTATAAAGACAGTTTGAGAACACAATCTACTGCCTTCCACTATGACAGATTCTACTCATGAGCCAACAGCAATTATCACTGCAAAACAAACCTCTTTCATATCCTTTTCAAAGGAGAATCTCGGTAATGAAAGATAAAGTCAGGAGAAGGTAAATCAAAAGTTCAGTATGACCTGGGTATTCCAGTAGTAATGATTCCTGATTGGGAACTTTTATTTTAGACTTTTTCCTCTGCTTTCACAGAACAAATCTGTTGCTAGAATTCTGTCCTTCCTTCAGAATTACTCTTGGGATTCTGTTTTCTCCTCCATAAGGACTGAGCAGGGGCATCACAGTTGAATTAAACAAAAATTTGGAGCAAGAGAGGAAAGTTTGTGTCACCGTCTGCAAAGCAACTATTATCCTTGGAATATCAATGTTCCTTTGAATGTAAATCTCTTAATGGCTCTTCAAGTCCAAAAATCACTTTTTTTAAAAAAAGATTTATTTATTTACACATACAAGAGCTGGGGTACAGCCAGAGATGCGGGGGGTGAGAGGATTCACCAGAGACAGAGCGGGGAGCAGAACAGGCAGACTGACCGAAATACACTGCTGAGGGGAGCAGCAGGCAAGACAGGAAAGGTCTGCTGCGTCATGTGGGTTCTCCCTGGCCGACCAGGGATCGAACTCGTGCTATACAGGCTGCGGATTGCTTCATAGCGTGGTGCTTAACCCCTTGAGCCACCAGGGAGGCCCACCAAAAACCACTTTTAATCTGGGTGGCTGTGAAGTCTGAGTCACTGTGAGCACTTGTGGTAAGTGTGCCTGAGGGCACGGGCGTCCTGGAAGACAGGAACTAGGTGGGTCTCTTCTAAGCCCGGCCTTGTGCATTAACTAAATCCAGTCCCCGGGACCTCTCTGCCCAACATATTGTGGGAAGATGAGGATCAAATGGGCATAGAATTGTAAAACACTGCAAGTTTCTCCCTAGACGCAGGAAACACACACTCACCTTCTCGTTGTAGATGTCTCCAAGCATGGTGCTTGCTCTCACGACATCCAGGCACTGAAAATTGTTTCTCGCAATCTTCACAACTTTTTTCAAGTACTTGATTGCTTCTGCCATCTCTCCTTTGCTAGAATAAGCAACATAGGAAAATAGTGGCGTGTCATCTCACTTAATATTGCAGTGAAGAAAAAATATTTGGTATCTTTGCTGTAGAAAGTGCATGATGGTGAACAGAGTAATAAAATTAACAACATGTGGCTTGTGGATGCTGAAAATGATGTGACTTGTCTTTGTTGGAGTATATAGTGAGTTAACACTGAAACATTTATGCACTGCTGTTCAGATGGTAAATGGGACAGCTGCTTTGGAAAATAACTTGGCACTTCCTCAAAAATGCTGACATAGAGTTACCATATAACCATATTAATTCAGCTCCTAGTTTTATACAAGAGAAATGAAAACATACGTCAACACACAAACTTGGACATGAATGTTCACAGGAATATTATTTGTAATAGCCAAGAAATGGAACAAAACAATATCTATCAGTTGAATGGACAAGTAAAATGTGGCATCGTCATACAATGGAATATTATTCAGTCATGAAATAAGCTAAGTGAAAGGAGCTGGTCATGAGAAAAACATATTGTACGATTCCACTTAGATGAAATGCCCAGAAGAGGCAGAAAGGAGGTGTGGTTATCAGAGTTGTGGTGAGCAGGAAATGGGGAGTGGTTGTTAATGGGTGTGGGGTTCCCTTTGGAGTAATGACATTAAATAGGGGTGATAGCTACATAATTTTGTGCAAATACTAAAAAAAATTGTAGACTTTACAAAGGGGCTGAATATATGGCCTATGAATCACATCTCAATAAAGTTGTTAGTTTTTTTAAAGATATAATCTTTCAGTTACAGTTTCCTCATTTTAAACATGGCCATAAATTGTTGTGAGATGAAAAATGCCACATATGTAGAGCCTGAAACATAGTAGGGGGTCACTAATATTATTACTGCTTTCCAGTGAAACAAAAACTATCATGCCCACAGTTCTATACTTAGTATAATCTTCCACCAGTTAAGAAGAAAAGTCAATTTAGCTAAGCATTACTTTTGGGAGATCTTTCAAAATGCAATGAATTAAACACCCATATTTGAACTTACACTCTGCAACACAGATGAGCATATGAGTTGTGATGTCTATTTTTTAAGGGGGAGAGTTAAAGAACCAGTATTTTTTGTTTACTTGGAATCGCAAACTATCAAGTACATTTTTATTCCCTTTCTTAGTGGTAAAAGACTGCTCTACCAACAGAAATGGTATGGAATTTCACATTCTTAAAGTTGTAAATATTTTTATGATTCCCTATGATTTCATAACAAAATTAGGAATCATCTTCCACATTCAGGCACAACCCAATTTCCAGAAAAATTATGAAATGAGGCATATTTCAAACACAGGCAAAGAGAGGGACACACATTAATTTAAATACTTGTTTTGTGGAATAACTAAAATGGAAGTGAGAAAGCTTGAGCTTATAAAATTATTAATAAAATATTACACTGTTTAGAATTTTCACCGAACTTTTAGATTTCTAGAACTAAAATGTTTTTATCAAATTGATGTTGTTAACTCTCCAAACAGTTTCTAGGACTGTAATTCTCAAAAAAAAAAATTGCTGAAATAAGAACAAAAGTAGAGACTTCTTTGCATATCACTTCAAAACCTTAGGGGGAAATTATTATTTTTATTTAGCCTAAATGGTCTCACTGAATCTTATTTATGTTCATGTTCCCAAAAGTTGATATGTTTTTGATGGAGGCACATTTTGGATTAGGTTTGGCCTGCTGAGGATTGTTAAATCACATATACACAAACAAAAAAACACGTTCAGTGAACAAGAAATCCAAAAGAGTATAAATAAAACTATTGCTGGGTGAGTCGAGTTATTTCTCCCAAAGGGGTTACAGATCTCCCAAAACATCCAAAATTATCTGGAATTTGCTCTATAAAATACTGCTCGAGAATCAGTCTTCCTATTGTAAATTACATATTAATTTGGTTCCTACTTTTATACAAGAGAAATGAAAACATATGTCAACACACAAACTTGTACATGAATGTTCACCGTGATATTATCTGTAATAACATCAATGAATGTCCAGTTCTGTGTCACCAAAGTGAACACAGCATCTGAAATATAAACATTATATGTTGCTTACAGGATTTCCAAAGTCAAAAGTTAGCACTAGATTTCAAAGCCAGTGTTTCTTGGAGAGGGAAAGAATCAAATATTTTTTTTTACAGAGAAGCTCTGATTATTTGTATAAGTGAAAGGACAAGGTTAAAATGTTAGACAAATATTAATTCCAGTTTTCTATATGCAGTGCACAGGTGCAACTTGAACAGCATATTATATGGTATAATCATTAAACTCATTCAACCAGACCTCAGAGAGTTAAAAACATATATTCTGAGGAACAGGACTCCTCGGTCCAAAGGATGAGAATGAAACAGTGCAGAATATTTGTGTATCAAGGTGATTCCTGTTTCCAACTGGGACCTCAGCACCGTTAACACCCACATCCCCTGACAACTGTCCAATTATGTATATCACACTTGGCCTACTGTTTGCAGTAGAAGTAATCAATAAAGGACGTGGTTGAGTGAACATAGATTTTGGTTGAACCAATGCATGAAAACTTAATCATTTACTCAGAGAGAAGAAATCAAATAGGGCAGAGATGAAACAGCCAACGAGGGGTTTGTTGACTGTGCCACCGGGTTTGTGGGCCACAGATGAAAGTAATAAGGTAAATGGAATCAGTGACAGGAGAAAATGTAAAAAGCCATTCTTAATTCCATGAATTAATAGAAATGTTTTGATGTATTTTGGGGGGTCATTTTTAGGAAATTTCACATCAAAGCCTGGATGTGCCATTTTAAGGAATATATGAAAATTACTAGGGCATGTAATTTCTCTCAAGCAAGAAGAAATTAATTTTCAGTTATAACAGAAAGGTAATTTTCACACTTGAAACTTTGCACTGATTGATTGAAAGATCTCCACTGTGGAAAGTTTGCTAGGAAATAATTTAACCTGAGTTTGCAAGAAAATTTACAAGTATGGTATGGAATAAATCCAGAGAGGGGCTAGTTATGACCAGTGTATGGTGAACAGTTCTCATTTGGGAGATTTTTCTCCCTCTAGATTCCTTTTAAAAGTCATCCTTTTAAAAATTGTGGCATTTTAGTAAATCAGTTATTTCAGTAAATGAGGAGCAAAAATGCCATAAGGAAAATGGAGTATTTTTTTCTTTTGGATTTACACAAATTGTGTCCGTGTAATACTATCTACAACATAATATCTCAACTCACCTTCTCTTTGTTATATGAACAATTCTGGCTTTTGTAGCTGTGTCGGGGCAATTGTTTTCATTTTAGAAAATCAACTCTGTCTTTCGCTAGTATTGCAAATAGAGAAGAAATCCACTGCAAATACTATTTTCTGTTACTCTGCTTAAAGCCTTGTGCAATTAATATTATTCAGAATAATAGCAAAAATAACACACCTTGTTCACGATTAAAATCTTCATCGATAACTCTAAAGCCAGGGCTGGGTCTAGCATTACCAAATGGGCACCCCTGTATTACCAGGTCCTAGTCTTGAGGGAATGTGGTTTGTTTTTCAACTGAAAGCTTGGCATAAATTCTTATAACTGTTTTAGAAGCTTCCAGTCTCAGAGTTTATTCACCTTTCATGCACACTCAGATGATGGCCCTAGACACACACTTATCCTAGACATGGCTATCCCCTTCCATTTCCTTTAAAGAGATAAAATATGTTTATAGAGACAGGGCTACCATTAGTGAAACTTGTGCAATTGCACAGGTTAGGAAAAAGAGATTTAGAGGTGATGCTAAGCTTCATACACAGTTTGATTTATTACTCAGCTGCCACCACCATCATTTCCTCTATTTTGCCTGTGCTCCAGTTCTTGCACATGGCTGCTAATCTGAGAAGGAAAGGTTAGAGAAGAAAGGGATATAAGTGTGCAGGTGTGTGTGCGTGTGTACAGTTTTTGTCTTTAAAATATCTGTGTGTCAATAGATCACACTCTCAAGTCATTTTGCACAAATGATAAAATATGCTGAGGCTAAACACTATTGCAAGTGTTCTTCCATAGCACCAACATGGCTGCAAAATGGCGGCCCAGATCGCAGAGCCTGCGGAGGTCTTGGGACACATTTTTTCTGTGACCTCATGAGAAGTATGTCCTGCCCTCTTTTGTGCAGTGCACAATGTTATAAAATTAAAAACCCACGTCTGCCGGACAAACCATTGATGATGGCTTCATTGGTACTTGAGTAGATGAGAATTCTTATAAGTGGAATTTTTTTTTTCACTTGTGACATGGGGATAAATCTCTTGTCCCTTACTTGTTAGCCCTGAGGCAGGCTGCTAGACTGTTGAGAGTGGAGTCCCTACTTCATATTGCATCAAATACAGCTGTATCCTTTCCCACACTTCGACTCTAAACTACACTTAAGCAGCCAAATTCAAACATTGGATTTTTGTTACTGTTGCCAATATTTACCAGATAATAGTTCAATTCTCCCCTTAACTTTTACTGCTTCCTGTAGTGGAGACTGAAATATTCCAGATGAGACACCAGTTTAACAGGTGAGAATAAGTCTGAGACAACCTCATGTCATGTTTCCAAAACACCATCAGTAACCAAGGAGCCTGTCTTGTCTTGAGACCCAGTAGGTGCTCAATATATGCTTATAAAAGAAAATGTTTTTCCCGGGAGTTTTCTCTCTTTCGTTATGTTGGAACATAACGTCATTTTGTAAAGATTATTTTCTAAACGTGTTAAAGGATACATTTATTTAATTCTCCAGGTATAGGCTAGGACAGCTACTAAAAAGGAAAACAAATAATACAACTATTTCCTACTGATTCTGGAAAGTATTAACAGAAGAGTTTAGACCTTGCATAATCAAACTATGGGGCAAAAGGGTGCAGAGCTGGTGTGTTCCAAAGAGATATTAAACTGAATACTAACCAATTTCTTATGTTCAAATATTTGTTTCTTGCTGGTTGTTTTGGAAAATTAAAGTTTAAGGGAGAGCTGGATGGCTCTTCCATGCTATCAATCTCTATTTACAGGACCACAACACTCCCAGGTTGCTTGCATGACTTAGCCTGCCTTCCTTGACTAAATGCACATATTCTTCACGTAAATATGTCTGTGTCCCTAAGCCATTTTCCAGCGGACAGCATTGCATTTTATTTGGTATTTTGCAGAGCACCTTTCATGTCATTGGTATTGAAAGTTTAATACTTAGGTAATTATTCAATATTTAATAATTATTACACTGGTAATGGTAATTGTATAATAGTGACTATTATATACTGAACTGACTTTCAGCTCAGTAGGCGTTTAGTGTGTTAAAATGCCTTTCAGGAAAGCCTTTTCAACAAATAGTGTTGGGAAACCTTGCCAAAAAATTAGACGAGATCATTATTTAACACCACGCACAACAATTAACTCAAAATGGATTAGAGGCTTGGGTATAAGACCTGAAGCCACAAAACACATAGAAGAAAACAAGTGATATTCTCCTAGACATTGATTGCAGGGATGTCTTTAGAAATTTGACTCCAAGGGCAAAGGAAACAAAAGCAAAAATAAATAAATAGGACTACATTAAACTGAAAAGCTTTTCTATAATGAAAGAACCCACTACAAAAAAAAAGACAAGGCAATCTGTCTTGTCTTTATAAGGAACTCATACATCTGGACAACAAAAAAAATTAAAGAACCAATTCAAAAAATGAGCAGGAGATTTGAACAGACGTTTTTCCAAAGAGGAAATACAGATGACCAGCATGCATGAGAAAAAATGTTCAGTCTCACTTATTATTAGGGAAATGCAAATCAAAACCACAACGAGGTAGCACCTCACACCTAGGAGAACCAGCTCTGCCTAAAAGAGTGGCAACAAGTGCTGTAGAGAATGTGGTGAAAAAGGAATGCTCTGTTGGAGGGGATATAAACTGATGCAGCCTCTGTGGAAATTGTATGGAAATGCCTTAAAATACTAAAATAGAAATACTGTAAGATTCAGCAATGCTGTCCTTAGGAATTCATTTGAAGAATATAAAACACAAATTCAAAAAGATATTTGTGCCACTATGTTCATAACAGCATTGCTCACAACAGCCAAGACATGAAAACAAGCTAAATGCCCATCGATTGATGATGGATAAAGGAGTTGTAGTATACATACTCAATGGAATACTACTTGGTCATTAAAAAGGAGGAAATCTTGTCTTCTGTGATAACATGGATGGAATTTGGGGTGGCTCTGCTAAGCAAAGTAAGTCAGACAGTGAAATATAGCTACTGGATGGTTTCTCTAATTTGTGGAAAATAAATAACTCAAGCAAATGAACTAAACACAACAAAACTAACTCATAGGTTGTATGAAAATATGGTGGCTATCAGGGGGAAGAGGATGGACAGTGGAGGAAAGAGTTGAGGGGGTCAAGTTGATAGTGTGCATGGCACCATATCTTCTGTGGTGGGTGCGGAGAGGTGTGAAATCATATCCCCGAAATTTATATATATTGTAAACCAATGGTAAGCTAATCAAAAGTCATAAAAAGTACCTTTTTTTCAGTAACAATTTGATCTTTAAAGAAACCATTCTGTAGCTCTGAGGCACACTGTGAGGGAGAGGTAGGGAGAGGGTTAAAACCAGAGAGGCAAGAACAGCAGGGGATGTGCTGCTGGCCCACAGGTGATGTGGTGGTGAGCGACTACAATGATGTAAGTAAATAAAATTAATTAATTAAGAAAAAAGGAAAGTAAACAAAACAAAACCAAAAATCTAAAGAACCAAAGAATCTAGTCTAAAGTCAACTCCACTCTATTGAATGTGGACCATAAGTTATATTTTATTTAAATACAATAAAGACTACATTAAGCATAAGAAAAATGAAGAAACCACTCTGTATGTGTTAGAACTGAACTACCAATGCAAGAAATTAGAGCTTGATAAAATCTCTGTTGTTAATATTATTACTCCTACTACCACTATTGAAAAGCTGTATATCGGGGGCCTCCCAGGTGGTGCAGCGGTTGAGCGCTGGGTTGAGAAGCTGCCTGCAGCCTCTGCAGCGTTGGTTCGATCCCCGGCTGCTCCCCGGCCACCGGTGGAGGGTCCCACATGGCGTGCAGACCTCTCCTGCCGCCCGCTGCTCCCCTCAGCAGTGTACTTCGGTCCTTCTGTCTGCTCTGCTCCCCACTCTGGCTCTGGTGAATTCTCTCCCCCTCCCGTGCTTCTGACTGTACCCAGTGCTTGTATAAATAAATAAATAAATCTTTAAAAAAAAAAAAAGAAAAGCTGTATATTGGATGTGAGATACCACACCACATACAAGGCCTCAACTTTAATATTTTCTTCTTCCTATTCTGTCTTGGCTTATGTCATAATGCTACTGTCAAATGCAACAATGACATGGAGTAGACAGAGCTCCCCACACAATGTGCCAAGAACAAATCAAATCTTTTCCCTGGAAGAGTTTGGATCAGAAGTTGTTCGTGCACACTTTTGTTAAATTTTCTATTTTAGGTAAAACACTGGGAATACTGTCTTTGCACCCAATGGTTGATCTCGATACACTCCAAGGAGAGACATCTTAATGGAAAGGCATGATGGGAGCATAAACGGGAATATTCCTTCAAGAAGAGCTCTCGAAGGTCACGGCGAGCCACAGTCACCGAAGCGTACTATATATTCCTGTGCGCTCTGCTTTTTTCACCTGTGAGATGTGACCCAGTTTTTCCCATTTGTTCAAGGTCGTGGCTAAACTTACAGAAAATCAAAGAAAAAAAAAATAATACAAAGGAGGAACAGACAAAGTAGAGAGTAGCTGCATATTTTAAAATACCACATGGGTTTAAAGTAACTTAGGATGAAAGGGTCATTTAAGAAGGGCCCTGCTTAAAATTGAAGCAGGCAGAAACAGAAAGCGACAGACCTCAAACAATTTAAGTCTTTCACGGTTGAGTGGCCAGTGACAGCAAGACAAGGATGTGCTAACTCACCTCTGCAGGGCCTTGGCTATGGCCTCATAGGCTCTCTCCAGGCTGAGATCATCATCCAGGTCTGCAGAGATTTCACTGTAAGTGTTAAGGACCTATCAGAAGAGAGGTGCATATTAAACCTCGAGCATGGCCAGATACATGGATGCTTCATTTCAGGACAGGAAAGATTAAAATTAATAGTTGCTTTTAATGTCTCTATAAAATATTTTTTGTCTATTAAAAATTCATAGTGGTTTGTTTTATTTTTATCTATAGTATAACTTGTTTCACAGCCATCTCTTTCAGCCGTGACGGTGAGGTCTTACTTTTGTAAAAATAATTCTTTTCCCGCAAGATCCCAAATCTTCCCATTTATATAACTTAGGTGTGAATAAATAATTGAATGGCTTACCCGCATTATTTTAAAATATGAGACTATTATCTAAGGTAATATAAGGCAGATTATAATGTTCTACTATGGTAGCTTAAATATCACTTTTCTTTCTATAAATAGCTGTTTGAAAAGCATGAATTTAGGTGCCCCGCAATTTCTAAATCTATCATTTTATTAGTTGCATATCTCACAGTTTGTACACGTCTTCGGTACACACTAAAAATATTTCTTACAAATGTACTTCATTACCAACAATCTCCTCAATAATCAGCAGATTACGACTGCCACAGCCAAACATATGATCTTAATTTAATTTAACACTGACACCATCTATATGGTAGAGTTTTCCTTTTTATTTATTTTTTGCATTCTGTGCTAAGCAGGAGGAAAACACTTAACACAGATGCCCATTCTTTCTTCTTCCTTCATTGTCTCTTGACCAATCCATTACACACCTGAGGCCACAGGCCAAGGGCCTCCACGGAAATCCTTTTGGCACATTTTCTAAGAAAGAATTAGCAGAAGGCATTGTTGGGTGAGCGAGCCAGTGGGAGGGAGGTCCGAGTGGGAGGCTGGAAGGAGACAGCTCAGAAGATTTAAGCGTCAGAGGCAGTGTTGACAGTTGTCTTTACTTTCTTCAAGTTAATATCTGGGAAGCAATACCCGGTGACATTTGGGATTCGTGTGGTTTGCAAATGACTGCTTGACTGACTGACAAAACACTCACTTTAAAACTTACTGATCCAGATTGGTTCTAGGCATCACATTAGGAATGGTAGGGCGTGGGGAGTATTGGAGAAAAGGGGGCTCTGCCTGTGATAACAAATGCCGGCCTCAGTTTTCCTCAGCCAATAAAAGGAAACAGAGTATGAGGAAAAGGAAAGCAGTTTAACTTGTTGACAAATGAGGAGGGCAGCAGACTCATGCCTGAAAGACAACCATCCTGCCCTTAGACAGGGTGCAAGGGTATTGATCCAAAGGAAAAAAAGGGGGAGCAACATGGCGGCGAGGAGACGCTGCTAGTAAGATCTCCCATTAAAAAAAGTGAATAGGGAGGAAAAGCGGCAGGTCCCAGTGAGAACTGGGACACGGAAGATAAACGGGTGACGCCAGCGAACTGCCCGAAGAAGAAACTGGCCATAAAAGAGGACTAGAAGGGAGGGAAGCGCAGAACCCTGCTCCCCTCCCCCGCCCACAGAAGCGGCACTCTCCGACCGGCAGAGAGGAGGAAACAACAAACCAAAACGACCCACAAGAACAAACAACGCAGCAAGCGGGACTGTGAGTGGAAAGGGACTATTGCAGCCACCACACCCCATGAACGGGAGCTGAGGCGAACCCTGCAGGATCCGCCGCGGAGGTGAGCGAACGGCTCCGGGCGCCATTAGAGAAGAACAAAGACCCCGGGAGACGCGCACACAGCCCGGGCTGCCGGTAAGCTTGTGCGGAGAGCGGCGCGCTCGGCGCGCTTGAAAAGCAAGTGCAGACCTGGATCTCGGCTGCCCAGGTCCCCGCGCCTACGACCTAGGCTTGCGGGGAGACGCGCGGAGGTCCTCACTGAGGGGAAGGTCCCTCCCTGAGTGAGCAGGAACCAGGCGCCCAGGCACGGGAGCTGTGCAAAAGGCGCCATTCCCGCGCCACTGAACTGGGCTACAGCCCGCGTCCTGGACCTGAGGGCTTTGAACTGAGACCCGGGGCACGAAAATTCGGGGCGTGGTTTCTCCACGACGGTGGGGCACAAGGCAGACACAGCACCCCAAAGCTGTTGAGGTGTACCCTACCATTCCCGCTCTGTTCTCTGTCCCACAGGGTAGGGGGAGGCGAAAAACAGCCCCCCAAGGACAATAGGAGAGATCTCTGGCGCCACCTAGCGACCAGGAAAAAAAAAGTCACTAACACCCTATAAAACAGGACATTTCTTAAGACTGCTTGAAAAGGGCAGAAGGTTTCTGGAGGACCCAGTGGCCAGCCGGGAAGTTATTCCACGCCAGGCCCCTTCCGACCAGCAGTCTGAGCCCACAGAGGGAGCAGGCACCCACGTCCGGGGCAGACCGGGTGCGCAGAAGAGTGTGCCTGAAACCGGAGGCGCAGGGACTGCATCCCGCTTCGCCATTTGAGAACAGGGACATTTCTTCAGTAAAAACTGCCTAAAACCAGCAGAAAGCTCCCCCAGAAGACAGAGATGGCTCCTGGAAGAGCCAGAGGGGAGCGGAGAAGTTCACCCAAGATGTCAGTCAGTCCGAGCAACACAGTGTCCAACGCATACGACAAATTAGAAAACAGACAGTAGGGAGTAGAAGAACCACACGCAACCTAAAAACTCCTCAGGAAAGAAGCACACCACAAAAAGAAAACCACTCCCCAGATTGCAACGACAGCAACTTGGAAGAACTTCTGAGCCTTCCAGAAAGAGAATTTAAAATTGCCATGATTAAAAAAGTGATAGATCAGAAGAAGGAAATTGAGTCCCTAAAGAGGGAAGTAAGAGAAATGCAGGAGATCAAAGAATTAATGGAGGAACTAAAGAACTCTGGGAAAAGCAATGAAAGCAGAATAGATGAAATGGAAGAACGAATAAGTAATCTTGAAGACACAGAAATAAAAAGAACCAAAACAGAAAAGGAAAGAGAAGTACGAAGGAAAAAGAATGAAGAAAGACTTCGGAACTATCTGACTCCAAGGAGGAAAAGGAATAGGAATACCAGAAGGAGAGGAGAGAGAAGTAGGAACAGAGAAAATATTCATGGATATAATTGAAGAGAACTTCCCAAATGAGAAGAAGGAGCTGAAAATTGATATACAAGAAGCAAGAAGAACACCAAACTTCCACGACGAAAGGAAAAACACAGCAAGACACATAATAGTAAAGCTCCCAAGAATCCAGGACAAGGAAAAAATAATGAAGCTGACAAGAGGGAAGAAACAGATAACATTCAAAGGAAAACAATCAGGCTGACATCAGACTTCTCTGAAGAAACACTACGGGCAAGGAGAGAGTGGAGGGACATAGTCAACAGACTCCAAGAAAACAGATGCCAACCAAGAATACTCTATCCCGCAAAGCTCTCTTTCCTCCATGAAGAAAGAATATGGACCTTCCAGACAAAGAGAAACTCCGGAATTTCATTGCGACTAAACCCCCACTCCAAAAAATACTACAAGGAATCCTAAAGCCAGAACCTCAGAGGGACGAATAACAACGAAAGAAGACCAAAAAAAAAAAAAGTTATTAAAAGAATAAATAAATAAAATCAAAGGAAAGACAAACATAATGGCAAATACAGATGCTAACATATCAATATTAACTCTAAATGTAAATGGACTAAACTCTTCAATAAAAAGACACAGAGTTGCAGCCTGGATTAAGAAACAAAACCCAACCTTTTGCTGTCTCCAGGAAACACATTTAGCTACAAAAGATAAAAATAGGCTCAAAGTCAAAGGATGGAAAACAATCCTACAAGCAAATGGGCCAAAAAAGAAAGCAGGAACAGCTATACTTATATCAGATAAAACAGACTTCAAACTCAAAAAATAAAAAGAGACCCCAATGGCCACTACATTATGATTAAGGGGACAATACTTCAAGAAGAAATAACACTCATTAACATATACTCACCAAACGAAAGAGCACCAAAATATATCAGACAACTGTTGTCCTCTCTGAAAACAGACATCAGAGAAAACACATATGTAGTGGGAGACTTCAACACACCACTATCAACAATGGATAGATCAACAAGACAAAAAATAAGTAAAGAAACTAAAGCTCTAAATAAGGACCTAGAGCATTTGGGCTTAACAGACATCTATAGAACACTAAACCCAAAAAAAACGGAGTACACATTTTTCTCAAGCGCACACGGATCATTCTCCAGGATCGATCACATACTGGGGCACAAGACAAACATCAACAGATACACCAAGATTGAAATCATACCAACCATCTTTCTGACCACGAAGGCATCAAACTAGAAATAAATCATAAAAAGAAGGTAAGGAACTATCCTACCTCATGGAGATTAAAAGCCACACTACTGGAAGACCACTGGACTAACGAGGAGATCAAAGAAGAAATTAAAAAATTCTTTGAATTGAATGACAAGGAGGACACCAATATCCTAAATGTATGGGGTGCAGCAAAAGCAGTAATAAGAGGAAAATATATAGCAATAGAAGCTCACATCAAAAAACAAGAAAGAACTCAAAGAAACAACCTAATCTCGAAGCTCAAAGATCTAGAAAAAGAACAACAAAACCCCAGAACCAGTAGAAGAAAAGAAATAATAAGCAGAAATAAATGAAATTGAAACTAAAAAACAATCCAAAAGATCAATGAAACCAAGAGCTGGTTCTTTGAAAAAATCAATAAATAGACAACCCCTAGCCAGGCTCACAAAGGAAAAAGGAGAAAGCACAAATACACAGAATCATAAATGAAAGAGGAGAATCACAACGGACACAGCAGAAATCAAAAGAATAATCAGTAACTACTATGAACAGTTATATGGAAACAAGTTCAACAATCTAGAGATGGACAAATGCCTACAACTCTACAATCACCCAAAGCTAGATAAAGAAGAAATAGAACACCTAAACAGACCAATTACAAGCAGCGAAATTGAAATGGTAATTAAAAACCTCCCCAAAAACAAAAGCCCAGGACCTGATGGATTTACAAATGAATTCTACCAAACATTCAGAGACGAATTAGTGCCT